AGGGAACAAAGGCCGTGGGGAGTGGTGAATGAGGACACGGGAATAAAGATCGCGGTGTGTCAGCAAATGGGAAGTCAGTCAACGAGGTCAAAGGGGCACAGGACATGTGACAGCGGCGGATGACTAAGCTTAAGACCACATGCTTCAGTCAAGCCAGGTTCCTAGCACGCAGTTAGTAGTAAAAAAAGCATAATATGACATTGAAGTGGTGAATGTCACAATGGTCCTTAAAAGTTAAACATACTTTCTGTCTTGGTGGAGTCTCAAGATACGGCGTGATATGCTGTCCGACGACGGATAATAAGCCGGAAATGGCCCTTCGGGTCTCCCCCGTTTTTATCGCTACTGTTTTCTGCATACCCTTTTGATCGCTATGAGAGTGCCTATGAGGACTGCAGATTGAGCCGTAAGACAACGGAACAGTCACGTTCGGGAACCTTATTGGTGAACACCCTTCTCAAAATATGCATGCGTATTCTGTTTTGAAGTTATTATGTTATGTTAAGCTTATTGGCAGGTGCCCAGAACTACGTTTTTTTTCCACCAAGCTGTCTTTGATGTTCTCATGTTATTCGCACGTTGAGTTCAGAGCTATTAAGGTTAACCCATGCTTCATTTCACCAACCTTTTAGATCTTTGCAAACTGGCTGAACTGTGCTGTCGCCAGTCTGCCAGTAAGTCGAGCCGATGGACTTGTTCAGGCCACCGATGAACAGATTTCTGACTTCAAACAGGCCATCATGAAGTGAGTTTGACAGCTTTTGCTGTCTATAGCTTTGCACCTGAAGGTCTTGCGATCCCAGGCGTAGTTTGAACTGGACTGCTACCGGTGCACGACCTCCCTTTATTCCAAAATGTATACGGGTTGGTAATTCTCAGGAGAATTCTTAATGGCAACCTGGAGAAAGATTGCTTTTTGCATTTAATTTGCACAATTTCTTAAACGATGGACTGCACTCGTCGTTGCAGGGGCCGGAACAGTAATTAGCCCAAAACCCAGCTCGGCAAGGTCTGTCCAAAGTGTCGAGACTGTCTGCCAGATTAGCTGTCTTTGAAAGCACTGGAGACTGCGAGACAAATCCTAACCAGCCAGCTTGCTTTCGATCGATATCTTAACAAATATAAGTGCTGTTTGAGTTTACTACACGATTGCCTCCTGTCAGTTAGATCTTCTATCTCTCTTGCTTTAAACGCATGTTAAGATCTCTTGGGGATCAGTTAAGTAGGATGATATCTATCTTCCACTGCTAATAAGTGATTTATCAAGAACAAAACGTCAAAAAGACTGGCTTGAAAGTTTACTAACTGACAACTTCTGCAGAGTTATGGTCTTAAGACAATGGTCGTGTTATTTAAAAGGATTTTATTTAAATTGGTGAATCAGCGCTTTTATTACAAAAGAAGGCTGGAGCTTTTTTCTAAGTCAATCATTGCCTTTACGCATCGTCCCTCGTTGCAGGAAGTGAATCACTGGTAGTCTGTTTTTTTTTTCATGGAATACACGCGTCGCCTCATGCGCAGTGGTACGCCTCATTGAATCCTGAAATGCATGCTGGGATATCTAGTTCAAACAACTTATCTCCACCCCCATTTACTATTGGCTAAAAGAGCGTCCGTCTTCCTCATACTTTCAGTATCCAATACCCCACAGTTTGCTTCGATGATTGATCTTGACGTGAGTTACAATCCAGCGCGCAAGACCCAAACACCACGCTGCATCACGTGCTACCTCCGGCCTAGTGGCACCCAACCACTTAGCCCAGCACTGTTTTGCCAGTTAGGCTAAGCAGAAAACGGTTTTTTGCTAGAACTCATCGTCACTATAACGTTTAGCAAGGGCCTTCTGCGGATACCCCGTTTATCTACGTCTGCGCAGTTCTGTCAGCAAACAGCCTATGTTCATTTCCGTGATAGCCTGCAAGGCGTGCTTAGCAGTTCAAGTGGCTGGAATGTTTTGACTGAGAATGAGCTGGACGTATTTATAGATCTTTGCGGTTGAAATATGATACAGAGCCAGCCACTTAATGGACCCTGTGCAAGCCAAATCAGAGCTGTCCAGTGGACACCCTGAGCTAATTTCGACGTATTCCGAAATGGCCGGCTATTACAGCTTTCCAAACGTTCTTTCTTCTAAATTCGTTAGCCCTACCTATCACATTCGTCATGTGTGCTTTTGTCTATCTCGATTGCTTGGTTGTCGATG